TATTTTCAAGCACTTCCTGAGCCATTAGAAGGGCATTAAGAGCATCAAAAAGATCATAAAATTCATTGAGGCATGAAGAGCATCAAAAAGATCATAAAATTCATTGAGGCATGAAGAGCAACAAGAGACAAAAATAAAAAATAACAAGGAGCTTAGTGGTGTAATTTCTACAACATATACATGATCATCTAAAATGAAAGAAGTGTCACAGTGGTCTATTGACATATACATCATAGAGAAACCAATCAACCATAAAGCAACCTTGGCCAGGTTGAGAGGCTATCTTCCACTTCCCCTTTTAGCAGCAAGCAAATTAGCATGTCGTAGAGGAATGAACAACATAAATGATATGAATAAAAAAAAATCTATATTTGAAGACAAATTAAGTTACCTCTGAAACAATGAAATTATTCATCTGTAAATTTTCCTTAAGGTCATCATCTGCACTAAGAGTTTTTGAACATCTGGGACATCCAGCAAAATGAAGTGTTGCAAACCACGAATCCGAATTGTCAATGCCAAGAGAAGAAAGCATCGATCTATCGGAGATTAGACCAAAACCATGCTTCTCTCTCGGCAGGAAGAATTCTCTGACAACAGCCAATAAATTTGTGAAGAAAGAGCTGTACCGCATGAACTCTTCATGATTGCAAGATGATGGAAAAGATTCATTTGTACACTTCGCCTCAGAAGTATCGTTTCCTGAACTGAACTCCCCAAACCATGGAACTCCATATACTTTTTCAATACCACACATGACTGTATTTTTGTTACGATGCTGTTTTTTTGGGAAGTAGAGGGTATAGGCAGGGGAGAAGAAAGAGGTGAGAAATTTATTGGAATAATTTTCTTTTTTTGTGATCATCTAAAACCAATCGCATAATGGTAATTAAAAATAGCTAGCCACCTTGCCGTTATTCTTCCCTCTCAATGTTTGTATTCCATCAGTATGTTCATTAGTTGTTCCAACGAGATCATCTGCAACAAAATGTGGAGCAGATGTTCATTCTAGAAATTACAGAAAACATAATGATGAAACACCAGGAGTAGCTACCGAATGCAACCAAAGCAAATATAAAGGAACCTTTTTTTTTTTTTTTTTTTTTTTTTTTTTTTTTTTACAAATTTTGCATACCAATTCACATTTGAAACAGAAAATAATAAAACAAATCATGCTTTGTACATTTGGAAATGAAATAGGGAATTTGAGGGTGACAAGAGGTACAGAAGTAAAATCACAGACCTGTAACATTGCCCTTTATCCCCTTGGACAGCAATTGTGTGGTCCATCCACAAAATTCCGTGAGAAGCAAGGCCTTATCAGTTGAATCAAGGAATGACTTCAATTCCTCAGGGGTATTCAAGTGCGTAAGGGGAAGTTCTTCAGGCAATAGTGACATGTATGGATAAATTGAGAATACTATATTTTGGGCTGTTAGTCTCCCTTGATACTTGTAAGATACAGAATGATGGTAGAAAATAACATTTGTCTCCTCTGACGTAGCACCAATTGCATTTACTAACATCTTCTCTGAGTTTCTGTACATGAACATCAGCTTTAATGAACTATACCTTTCTTTTCTATTTTCAATAAGATGGGCTATATCTTTCATTAGGGCTCGTGATTCACCAGACCCTGCCAACAGAATAATTGATCATGCATCAACAAATAAAACCAAAAATATATATTTGGAACACTTAAACTACATCCCTAAGATTTAGGAAATTTAAAATTTTCAATTTTCCTTCATAGGAGAAAGAGAGGAATATTTTTTGCTTCAGGTGGCCTTAGACAGAGACCCTTTTCCTTACATTTTTGTTGTGGCAGAGGCATCTTTAGAGATTTTGAGAGAGAAGACTAAAGGGCAGAGGTTTCTCATTCGCAATATGGGCATGTCACAATTATCTTTAATCCAAATGATGAGTTTTCTTTGAGATATTGGTGGCAAAGTTCTTCATATCCTCGTTGAATTCTCAGATTTATCTTTAAATCTCTCAAGAACGGCTATCATTCAGCAGAATATTTTGCAAGAAAGTTGGATAGCCGAACAATTTACCCTTCAACTATTTGGATGTGCCCTGGGCTTTTCCCAAGAAAAAGCTTCTACTGGGTTCCTGTTATGGAAAAAATCCAAGCTAAGTTGGCCAGACGGAAGAACATTCCTATTCCAAAAGGAGAGACTTTGGCCCAATCCGTTTTGGCAAGCATCTCCCTTTACCATTTCTCTGTAACACATTTGCCTACCCTGATACTAACACCTAACTAACTCCCACACTTACTTTCATGCATCACCTACGTAAGGGGAACCAGAACTCCACATAACTTGTATGATATTGTCAACTTTGGACATAAAGCCTAAAGAGCTTTATTTTTGGAACCACTCAAAAGACCTCATACTCACGGAGATAGTGTCTCTTACCTATATTGGAACCACTCAAAAGACCTCATACTCACGGAGATAGTGTCTCTTACCTATACAGTCATGATCTTGCCTTTATCTAGCAAATGCGGGTCTTTAGTTGTATTCTCAACATTAGGAATATGGGATATTGTGTTGGAAGATTGCGAAATAAAATACTTCACATTCACATTAAACAGTTACACGTAACAACTGGAGTCGAAGCTCCAAATATCATCACTTCCAGATAGCTAATTGTAAAATAGTGTTTAGCTCAGTATATTCCCTCAAAGTTAGAGGTGGAAGCAGGATAATTTACAAGGGAATTCTCAGAGAAACAATTTTATTTTTCTATAACCAATTTCCAAGCATATACACCCCAGGCCCTACAACCAGCATATCAAGAATAAGGACTGACGACTAGCTTTAATAGGAACTTTATGGATGAGGTTATGAAACGGGTATGGCGCATCTTTCTTCTTAAATAGTTCTCCTCACTTGAAAGACTGATAATAGAATCAAAATTGTTCATAGCTCATGATCCTTCTCGCATAAGAGAACGTTCAATTATCTACTAAACAATACAAAATCCATCCCAAGAAACCTAGACAGTGTTTGTCTGAACTTGCTCACTGAGAAACTCGCACCCTAGATCAAGTCCAAAGAAAAGTCCACAGCCTATGTTTGTGTAATGCTCATGAAGGTCAATAACATCTTTTTCCAACCTCTAGGAAAGTTTAGAGCAAGGTTTTTCAATGATTCAAAGAACAGTGGTGCTTCGCTTCCATATATCAAAATTTTCTCCTTCGAACACTTTTTGGCTTCCATAAATCAAAATTTACACTGTTGATGTGTAAATCGAATACCAAACTACTCCAAGACTTCTCTTCTTGCCACCTAAATTCATTAACATCATACAATGAAGCCTCCGAACTTCAACCAATCGCTCTAGTTGAACGCGCAGATTTTAACCCGCCTCTCCGTCGCGGTAGTAAAAAACGCGAAAAAAAAAAATCGGTCCAAATGCGATAACAATCACCATACTACCTAATCAGCTAAACATTGCATATTGTTTAAATTCAGACTACATCTGTAGAAATGGTTTCTAATGAAAACAAAAGAAAACTAAATAGTCGGTCCAAATTAGCTCAAAAGTACCCGTTGTTGATCACTTCTGCCATAAAAACAAAATCACGGAATGACAGAAAACTCACAGGGAAGTGTGACAAGAAGAAGAATATGCGGATGAAGTCTGATCTGAGAAGAAAAATTCTGTCTGGTAAGAATTTGCCATTCTCCAATTGTCTCCGATGCATTAGATTCAACAACCAACGTCGCCAAAAGTGCGGCAACGACCACCCCAAACAGCTTCCGTTTCTCATTGTTCTTAGAAAACCGGCCATCACCAAATCTATCGCACACTCGTCTTCTAGCTTCAGCAGCTGAACTCATTCTTTCATCTATGGTGCAGTGGCAGAGACTCCCAACTTTCAGTTTTGGAGACCCAAATGAAAAATAATACCCACACGAGAAATGGGTCGTGGGCCGAGTAATGCGCTGTCGATCGTATCCGTCTTGTAACGATACGACACGTCGTCTCGTATATCCGGGAAAAATAAATTGGTTGGCAAGTTGAATTTTTTTTTTTTTTTTTTTTTTAGATTTAAGTTTATAAATATTACTCCCACCTACAAAATTTTATTTATTTTATTTTATATATTTTTTAATAAAATATTTTTTTTAAATAGTGTATTGAAACATTTTTTTGTTAATTAATTATTTAGAATATATATGTATGTATAAACCCACATCTATAAACATTCATATTAGTTATTAAACTTTTAAGCAATCTCAATTACAAATGGTGCCTCAATCTCAAAGTAAATATTGAATATTATCATTAATTAAATTATATTAAATTGTGTTACGTGTTTATTTATATCCAAATTACATGTTAATTATATTAGACATAATTATTAAATTTTAAGATTTAAATTGTTAGACATAATTATTTATTTTACGAATATGAACCTAATTTGATTAGTTATAATGTAGGATTAAAATCTAGATCTATTTGTTAATTATATTAGAGACTAATTAATGTTTTTCTTTTAACATATATTTCCTCTTTCCTTTTCATTTTAGGATAATTAGAGTGTTATTATAAAAAGAAATAGATGAATTCATTGAAATTTCAAACAAAAGAAAAAAAACAAATATTTCCTCTCTTTTTCATTTTACAATAATTAGAGTGTTATTTTATAAAAGAAATATATGAGTTCATTGAAATTTCAAAACAAAAAAAACAAAATTTTTAAAAATAAATTATATAATTATAAAATCAAACAATTGAATATAAAATTAGTGTTATTTTATAAAAGAAATATATGAATTCATTGAAATTTCAAAATAAAGAAAAAATAATAATTTTTTTTAAAATAAATTTTATAATTATAAGATCAAACAATTGAATATAAAATATTGACTCTAGTAATATGGAGAAGACTAAATTGGTTAAGCAACCGACAGTTAGTCACATTTCATTTGATGATTAGAGACAAATTAAAAGCTAAACAGTATATTTGAGTTTTCTAATGTCAGTGAAACCTTAAAAAAGAAAATAAATTATTCCGTAATAGAGCATATACGAGTTTGCTAGTTCAAAAGCAATACCCGGACACACAATCACAATGCACATAAAACAAATAGATATTTAGTTTAGCCACCAATCAACTGCAATTAAAGGCATCAAACGGAGAGACAAACTGCAGCCACAACGCCGTCGTCCGATTCAGTCTGTTTAGGGCTTCCACAGAATGGTTGTTTCGGCGATCATGGAAGTCACCACGTAAGGATCCATGTTCGAAGCTGGCCTTCGATCCTCGAAGTACCCTATACACAAAATTTGTTGAAAAGAAGAAACTATAAGACCTTTTGATCGTTTGAGAGAGGAAATTGGGGTGTTTCAGAATAACACTTGCCTTTGCCGGCCTTTTCAGTGTCTCGCCCAACACGGACTGAGGCTCCTCTGTTTGCAACTCCCTGGGATTTTTCATTATTATGAGCTTATGAAAACAACACAACAGTGTGCTATGAGTAAGAAAGGGGCTGGACAACATAATACCCAAGAGAAGTTGTTGATATCAGCAGTTTCGTGGCGGCCTGTCAACCTCCTCTCGTTGCCTTCTCCATAGGCAGCAATGTGCTCTTTATGGCGCAAACTCAGCTTTTCAATGGCCTTCTTGATCACTTCAATACCACCGTCGTCTCTCATTGACTTGGTGCTGAGGCCGACCAAAACAAAATGGTTTTTTTTAGATGATATACTTGTTAGATATAAGTACTCTTCACGATGATATGATATTATCCATTTTGAGCGTACTCAAACTCAAATTATTACAGACAGATCAAACGACAAGTTCAAGACCACAGAAGAAAACAAAACCTGTAGTTGGCGTGAGCACCAGCGCCATTCCAGTCACCCTGGTTGATAATAATCAAACAATGTGTCAACCCAAATGATGCTATGTGTAAGTAAGCACACAGGGACAGGGCCAAAACAGAAGAAGTTGTCTACTAGTTGAATTTAACACAAACCTGAACTGGCTTTGGGTCGAAGGTGAGAACGACTCCTGCCATTTCTGTGATCCTCTGTTTCACCATAAACCATTGTTATTAGAAAAGAGATGTCACAAAACAAGTTGGTATTTTAATATTAGATCATACCTCGAGGATGTATCGAGCGATCCATATCTGATCACCAGAAGCAATACCAACGGTAGGACCGACTTGGAATTCCCACTGCCCACACAATAAATAACAAACAAAAAACATGGGAATCAGTTTAAAGAAAAAAGACGGGAATTATGTGTTTGGATATATGATTTATGTTGGAAACGCACCTGTCCAGGCATGACTTCTCCATTGATTCCACTAATGTTGATTCCGGCATAAAGGCAGGCCTTATAGTGAGCATCCACGATGTCTCGACCGAAGGCCTTGTCTGCTCCTGTCCCACAGTAGTAAGGACCCTGCATACCACCGGTTAATTGGATAGATACTTATCTTAGAAAGTTGAGAATCAAATACTTCAATCATCAGATCTTAGAAACTCAATCATATAGACCCTGCCTATTTTCTATGATGACAATGAACAAACAGCATATAGGGTACCTGTGGGCCTGGGAAGCCACCGACAGGCCAACCAAGGGGCCAGCGTGTATCCTTTTGGAGGAGAGTGTATTCCTGCTCAATTCCGAACCTGATGTCACCATCAAAATAAAGACATGAATTTTACAGAATCGATGAAAATCATAAATTAGACCCATATCATATTCAGTGAAAAATACTATTTAGCATAAGACAAAGCAAAAGGAAAATATCATGAGGAAAGGAACGGACAAAAGACCTCAGATCAATGAGAAAATATCATGTGCAAGAGTATTACTACACCCTACGTTCATGCTAATTGTTTTTTTCTTTCATAAAGTAGCAAAGAAGTGTGATGTAGAAATCAATTAATAGGACCTATCTATGATAGTATAGTAAATTTCTCCGTGCTGAAATGTGATAAATTAAGTCAATTTGAAGTGATGGGTGCGAAAGCACGCATGGTGAAGCGCCTAAGATACAGCTTTTGCTGACATATGGACCATTGTTTTTTTGTACGCAAAATTGCGGATTGCTACCTACTACAATCATTAAACCATCGAATTCTATAGTGGCAGGGAGGAGTTCCAGCCAAAAGCAGACGGTGGACATACTTTAATGAATAGTCCAATACAACATTTATCACATCCTCTTGACAAATGGCAATTCTATATATGAACAACGAACCTCACTCACGAGAAAAGACATTTTCCAAGTTCCAACCCCACGGGTAATGGAGAGGTATTCATGAATGTCTTTAAGAAAAGAAAATTAAGAAAAGTAGTCACGGGACAATAAGAATTATTTTAGCTTCTACTTCAAAGTTTTTGAAAATCGTGATGGGGTTTTTGTTACCAGTGAACAATATGTTCACTTGGAAAGTACCAATTCACTAATTTGTGATAGTTTATATTAAATATGGGTCTCATTCCAAAATAGAACATATATATATAAAGAATGTGCAACATGTATTTAAGAAAATGAGTGATCAGAACAATTTTAGTATTTTTAATCTCATTTTTATATAAGTAAACGTAGTACGGAAGATTTTACTTAGCATTAATAATACTAATAATAAGATGTCACATTACCAAGGTTCCTCCGCAACAACGTCCGGCTCGCTAAAAATCTTGGCGGCGTTGAATCTCGTGTTGGTGGGAATCGGCTCGCCAGCTGACGTATAGGCATCACACATCACCTAATAACGAAAAGACGAAATTACCCCTCAACCCGCTTTTAAAATACCAAAAAGTATTAACAATTTACCAACAATGAGCGGGAAAAAGCGGTCGATCACTATACCAAGATGTTGTTCCCTCTTCTGAAAGGATCCTTGAAAACCGCCTGAGGACTGTTAACAGTCAAACAAAACTGACGCCGTTAAATGTGGAAATTTCAGATATGAACAAAAAGAAAAAGATACTACGCTAATCGAATGGAATATTCCAATATAGTTTATTGGATTTGGATACTCTCGATCAGGACCGTTGATCACGATCCTGACAGAGTATACAATTGCATGATGGTCACGTGTATATGATAATGAGGTGGGGGCGTTATACATACTGTAAGATGACTTCACTGTTGTCTCCGGTGGCTTGATTCGTACTGGAACCATCGTAGTTCCACTTGGGGAGTTTCGCCGGATCGGTCACGGGTCCCGGAAGAGTCTGAAAGTAATTTAAAAATTAATTTTAAAAACCATTCAGAAACCGAAGAAACGAGCTGTACGGACATTCCGAACGAGTCGATTGTGCATCAAAATTTGTACGGAAACGCTTTAAAAAAGAGCGACCTATTTCGAACTCAAACGTCGAAATGTGAAGAAAATATCCGTAATGAACTGGAAATCCCTCGCAAATAAATGCTAAAGAAAATGTCACCAGAAAACAATCCAAACGTACAGCTGATTCAAATTCCAAGGAGAAAAATAGAGAAACGTTCGAAAACTGAAGAAATGATGTGTGCTGTAATTTCTCAAACGAATTGATACAGTAATAACAATCTCTCGAAAATAACTCTCAAAATATGATCGATTCAAGGAAAAATTCGAAGATAGATAATAATCGAGAGAAACATTTGAAATCTGCACCGATAATTTTCAAGCGATTTGAAACAGGCAGAAACCAAGCACGATCGGAGAGAGAAACTTTCGAAATCTGAAGAAAATGATCTCCACCAACAATTTTCCAAACGAGTTGAAACGTCAAAAAAAAATCTCTCCAGACAAACATCAAAAAAAAAAAAAAAAAAAAAAA